TATAAAGGTATGTGTCAATCAAGATATATGCAAGAACAGGTTTAATGATTAATTACATGGAACATTGTGGGTGTGGTGTACATTTTGTAACCATTTTTTAGTATATCAATTGTGTGATGTAAGAATGTCAACACTGTTGTATTCTTTTTAGTATAATATGTGTGTGTGTAGAAGTGAATCATTTATTGCTTGCAAACCAATGATGGTAAGATGATGTCATGGGGTAGGACTGGATAAGTCTGACTTCTTCCTACTCCATTCAAGCATGTACTAGGTATAAGCAAATTGTTATTGGATTGTGTGTAAAAATGTGTGTTGTATATCAACTGTTTTATATGCTTGAAAGAATAAATCAGATCAAATCAAAATTTGACAGTTACTAGATGATACTTCATTTTCGTTTTTATTACAGACAGTGGTTCTTCTTCATATGAGGGCAGCATGCTGAATGTGAAGGAGGATAGCACTGTGCCTCAGGTCGGTGATAGTGATTGCAAAGGAGAAACATCAAAAAAAGAGGCGCTGACCTTGAAAGCTGAGATTTTCAGTGAGTTTTTTTTTCCCAATTGTTAGGACAAGTAATTCAGCTGTTTTTATTAAGTGTCTAAAGAGCCATATTAACTCACTTTACTGCCACAGGCCTGTAATTTGTTTCAGAATTGTAAATAATCTACTCTGCACAGTGCAAAGGTTCTGACTGAATCTCTGCTGAAATTTACACAATGCAATTTACACCATCTTCATTGCCCATATTGGTGTTATGAACACCACAAAGACTTATCAGCAGTGGAAATCCTTTGGCTCTTATTCACCACACAATGTTTTGTTGTTCCACACATTTTAAATTCAAGGTTTCTTATTGGAAGTTGTGTGGATGTTAGCAGAGGCAGAATTACAGCTTTGTGACCACCACACAGCACTCAATGTTTTAAATCAGTGTTTTGTCCACAGTAGCCACTGGAGCATTACACGGCCTTGTTTACCATCATATACATACGCTGCATTTTATCATCTGTGCCCTAAACAAATTGTGTATCATTAAACAAATTGATCTTCAATCAGGGTGTTGGTGTCTGTATGCAGTGCTGTATTCAGCAGCTGTTTGACGATGTTTACACCCTTGCTATAGTCAGTTTTGTTCAGAGTGTATTTCCAGCCTTAAATGGTAGGTTTTCATTTTTTTCCAAGTCTATCTTAAAATAATACTGATGCCTTTAATTCTGTGAGCTTTAAAAGGCAACTCATGTTGCACTGGACCTTTTCAAATCCTACCCAAAATGAAACGGTAGAGACACTGATGATTGAACTGCTGTTGAAATGAATCCGGTCTTACTGTAGCAGAAGAAGACCACACTGGGGAGAAGAAAGCACCAGAAACAACCCCTTTACCAGCCCTGGGTGACAAAAAGGATGATGGACCCAAAGCTGAACTTGATGAAGGATCCCCAGAGTTTAAAGACCTAGACACTGAAGCTGGAGGGGGTGAGTCTGACTCTTTTTTTAAATCACATTTCACCACATGGTGCATACAAATACACAAAGGTTGCCTTGAATGTAAAACAGCAGCACTCAGATGGTAACATTTCTGAGCAAGGTCAATAGTAATCTGTTCAGTGTGTACTGTATATACCAAATATTTTTCTGCATTTACTGTGCTAATGGAATATGGCCTCTGTTTCACCAAACAAGGCTCAGCTTCATCGTGTACATCCACAAACAGTGAGGCTAAAAACGACAACAGTGAAAACATGGAGCAGGTGGATGTTAGAAGTAAGTACATCAGGGGTGGCCAATTCCAGTCCTCGAGGGCTTCTGTCCTGCTTGTTTTCCAACTATCCGTGCCTGACAAAATGAAACAGTAGAGACACTGATGATTGAACTGCTGTTGAAATGAATCCGGTCTTACTGTAGCAGAAGAAGACCACACTGGGGAGAAGAAAGCACCAGAAACAACCCCTTTACCAGCCCTGGGTGACAAAAAGGATGATGGACCCAAAGCTGAACTTGATGAAGGATCCCCAGAGTTTAAAGACCTAGACACTGAAGCTGGAGGGGGTGAGTCTGACTCTATGAACTTGATAAAGGATCCCCAGGGTCTAAAGACGTAGACACTGAAGCTGGAGGGGGTGAGTCTGACTCTTTTAATTTCTGCATTGAGGCACTGATCTTCTAACACAACAGGTAGTTTTCACGACACATAGCTATGGCATCTGTTTTTTTTTTTATATGAATTTGTTTACCCCCTACTGCTCAGTAGATAGAGGAGCCCTGGAATGTGGTTTACCGCCTGAAGACAAGAACACAACCTCTTCACAGGCAGCACTGGCCGAGGAACCCTCAGTGGAAGAAGACAGAGGTGAACAGAGAAATAATGTTGACATCCTTTACGATATCTCTGAGTGCTACTGAACCTATAGTTACAGAGGGTGCTAGAAGTCATGCAGGTAATCCTGCAACTCTATTTCTTCTTTATTATCCTCTTTTGTCTGTTTTTAGGGGTATGGGTATCACGGGCCACCAAATGACTGATGGAAAATATTTATATGACATGACAGCAAAGAACTTAACGTATTAGTGACTGCTGTAAAGAAAAGGTGTTTTGTAACATTGCGTGTTATACATTACTTAATTCACAATTATAAGTAGCTTAAAAAGGACTGGTTTAAAGAACACATATGCTCTCTCTCCATAGGAAGAATAAGATGCCCAAAAGGAGTGGTTTTAGTGGCAGGGGGGCTGCCATTCTTGCCATCTTTGTCCAGACCTTTTTCAAACCAGAGTCTCCACCTCAGATAAGTGATGTGCATCAAATAGACATCTTTCTCGAGCAGATGAAAAACGTGCAGACTCAGTTCCCCACTCAACGTGCTGAGCTTTGGAATAGGAGCAGGATCCACCTGCAGAGGCACTTCCAGACAGCCCAGCCCACAGAGCCGGTGAGTCTGATTCTAACTGCGGGCCTCCAAGCCGAGAGGACGCTGCACTGCCTGGCTCAGGGCCTGGCCTCTGCCTTCTCCTCTGCCCTCAACGCCTCTGTCCTCCACATTGATGGAGCCAGCAAAGCTGACCAGGACAGCGATGAGGTGAAGCTGGACATCGACCTCCAGCTGCAAGCAGCCTTTGCAGGAGACAAACCTGTGGCAGTCGTTCATCGCTTTGAAGAGCTGCCTCCAGGCTCCACACTTATTTTCTATCGCTACTGTGACCATGAGAACGCTGCCTACAAAAAGACTTTTCTGATCTTCACAGTGCTTCTGAGTGAAGAAGAGAACATTCCTGCCAAGATTCATTTAAGTGTTGTGGAGGAAATGGTGGATGACTACCTTAAAAAGAAGTTTCTCTCTCATAGCCACCCTGTGTCTTTCGATAAGATGGATCTGGACAAGTACAGTGGACTCTGGAGCCGCATTTCTCACCTCATCCTTCCTGTGGCAACAGAGGAAAGGATAGAACAAGAAGGGTGCAAGTTGACATAAATAATGACTCTGTCTAGGCACTACATAACTGCCTAGCATCAGATGTCTTACTGGGTGGCTCAGCTCACTCGGGCTGGTAGTAGTGGTTTTAAAGACCCAAAGGTTTCTTGCTGTAGTCAAGTTTACTACAGAGGAAGGCATTGAGGAAAAATAAGATAAGATGATTTGAAAGTTTTGAACATTTTTGAGTACATTTGTCATGAAAAAATGTTTGACAAACAGGCTGTGGCACTTTATTTTTTAATTCTTTAATTCGATGTAATTGGGGACAAATTTCTAAATGAAACGTTATAAATAACAGGGCTTGTGTGGGTTCTACTGTATGTAACTGCTGCTTCAATTTGTGTACATTTTAAAAGTTATTTAATGTAAGACTTTTTATTGTTGTCCTATGGTTAATAATTAGTAATATTCCTTTGGTGTCACAACGCAGGGCTCTGTTTTTTTATAGCAAATGTTGTTGTCAGTGATTCTCAGACCTGCATGGCACGTTGTGCCTTAACAGAACTTCTCACATACTGGTTTCTGTATATATGTATACCTACACCTTACACTATAGGAAGAAATTTGATGGAAGGAAGTAAGTACACAATGAAATGTGCCTTAAAGTAAAAATAAACTTGTATATTCAAATGGTTGTTTCACTTTGCGTTTTACGCTGTTGCGGCCAGAGGGCAGCAAAGGCACAGCTGAGACTGGGCTGCTCTGAGGCGACCGAGCAGGATGAAATAAATATGCAACAGGCTGCAATTTTGTAAGGTTTTAAATTGGCTTCAGAGCCACAAAGTGCAAGTCAAATTTGGAATAAAATACATTTCAGCCTGATGCAATCTGTGTAATCTTCATTAAACTTTTAACAATAAGGTGCACATCATATTTGAGAACTCTTTTGAGAAGCTCAACTCCTCCTTGCCATCCGAGCAGGTCCGCCTCCTCTCAGCGCTGCTCCAGCAGCGGACGCCGGCGGCTCTCAGTGCGCGGTTTCTCCGGACTGATGCGCCTACGTTCATTGTGACTATGAAAAGTTGACATAGCGCGTTAAAGCCTAGTCCCACTTCTAGATGCAATTTTGGATACACCTGTATGATTTTGGAGCCACGCGAGGGCTATGGAATTTTCTTGGCAGCTACATTAAATGGTGACAGCAGCGTTTGCGTAATTGTAGCCTTATTTCTCTTTTCGGCACCCCGCGAGACTCAACATGCATAAGTTATATATTGTCATCATAATGTGCTGTACCTTATTTCCACGGGCCTTTGCAGCGCCAAAGACCCTGGGTACAGATCCCAGGTCACAACCTGACAGCAGTGCAGAGCAAAATGAGAGGCTGCAGGAGGAGATCGATGGTCATGAGAACATCCTCTCTAAGGTAGGAGGAAATGCCAATTGTCTTTATTTCCTTAATCGACGTTTTATCATCTTGTGCGTAAAATTTGAAACGTCTCTGATTGAGCGTGGTGGAAAATACATCCGTCCTCTTCTCTTTATAGTTGCTGGGTGATTATGACAAAGTGAAATCCCTCTCAGAAGGCTCTGACTGTCGGTGTACATGTGTTGTCAGACCCCTGAGCAGGAGCGCCTGCCGGCGGATAGAAAAGGGCAGCGCCACTGCGCAGGACTTCTACACTGTGGAGACGATCACATCTGGACCAGAGTGCAAGTGCGCCTGCATCGCTCCTCCATCAGCGGTCAACCCATGTGAGGGGGAGTTCAGGCTGAAAAGACTCAGGGAAGCTGGAAAAGCGAATGTCAAGGTGAAGTGCCATCCTGTCACATTTTCATGAAAACCAGAGCCTCCAGTAGGCTACACATAATGCTCCAGGGCCAATAGGCTGCTCTCTTCCACGTCTGTTGATTTCTAGAGATGCTTGGATCATTGGAGGCATGGATGTCACGGCTTACCAAACTCAGTGAAGGATAGCTCCTCATTTAATCTACAACCAAAGACTTAAGGGTTTGGATGGGCTGAGGATAGGCCTGTTTTACGCATGGTATATCTTGAATTGGTAAATCGTTTTGACGGGGAATCCTCTTGGTCATTTTAGCTGTCCACGATCCTTGAGCTGCTGGAGGGCTCCTTCTATGGCATGGATCTACTGAAACTGCACTCCATCACCAATAAGCTCCTGGATCGGGTAGAGCATCTTGAAAAGGTACAGTAAGTGTGTAGGATTAATGCCATCTGTTGCTGTAATGTGTGTTAACAGGTGTGTTTGGGACAGTGTTTGGAATGATTTTGAATTTTGGGGTTGGGCATGGATGAAGTGCCTTTCCATTGTAAGTGGAAGTTTATCTGTCTGAGCATTGACCCCCTTTTTTAAAAACAAATTGCCCTGCTATACCTTCTTTATTCTTAAATAAATTATTTAAAATGACACGTTTTGTTAACTAAATGTGCCAGTTCAAATGAAACCAGTTAAACCTTACGGTATGAATTCTTGAAAATGAAGGAAATGAGCAGCCACAAACAGAGACTCCGAGGTTTGGATGGGCTACTAATTGGTCTGTTTTACATATGATAAATCCACATCCTTTTGGCAGAATCCACTTGATCAATTTAACTGTCCACCAATATATTTGGATGGATATAAATGGATCAGACGAACAATCAGTATAGTTACACTTTAACAAGTCAGGGGAGTGTGTGTCAGTTTCATAAACCGACAATCCTGAAGGAGGGAAAACTTAACTGCAGAAACCCAGTGTGTTGTGTGTCAAGTTTCACAGCTAAGAGGTCATTCAGGCCACTAGTAGAAAGAAAAAAGAAATAGATGAATAAAAGATTCACCAGTGTTTTCAGTTACGTTGGGAGTTTGGACCTCTCTTCAGGCTGAGGCTGGGTGTAGCTGTGTTGACAAGTTGCAGAAGTCACCCGACTCTCTGCTGAAATGAATCATAAACGTCATAAATCTTAATGCTGCCCTGCCCAACTGTTACATGCTCTTGTGATTATCCAAAATAACTGGAACCACCTGTGTCAATGACTTTGTTATTAGACAAATTCAAAGAATGTTTAAAATAATCTTGACATGAACAACTGGCATTCGCTCCCTGGATCTGAAAGCTAAAGGTTAAGATCCTTATACCTTATCTCACTTTTTAGGGTTTACTCTCCCAGTTATTAACAGCAGTGAGATGAGACTCAAACTGCTTTGTTAAACATTTTCCATGCAATGTGTCTAATTGGCTGTGGCTTTGCATGTCACTTCCTATGGGTATTGTAGGTTTAATGTTAATTTGATGAGTTATGATGACCTGCGCCACAGTTCAAAACTGGATTGGATTGTGGAATGGGCCTACAAAACAAAAGGAAGAGGTGCAAAACTACTAAAAGGAGAGTCAAAACAACCTAGAAGAGACTTAAAGCAATCACAAAAACACAGAAATGCAAAGTAAACACAAAATACTCAAAACAGCCACAAAGAGCCTGAAAATGACTACATAAAGATGCAAAACAATACTGGCATTCAGTCTGAGGGTTTTGCTCCTACACAGGGGGCCATAAAAATGTCTGTGCCCAGGGGGCTCAGTGACTCATAATCTGTCCACGTTCAAAATACTTGATATTGCCATATGCAACTTAATGTATCCACCTGATGTTAAGAAAGCAGTGGTCAGGGCAGTACTGCAGCTGTGTGTGCTTCTGAAATGATCCTTTTTACAGGCTGGTTTTTGCATGGAAAGCTGAAGTTAATAACATTAACAGGTAAATCAAGCATATCCACTGTTCATCTTATTAGTTTTAGCTGGTTTCAGATGTCCTATGAAACGCGAAGTGTACAGTGTCATTTAAGGTGAGCGAAGATGTTCACTGCATTTTAAAGTACACACTAGGATATGTAAATTAGATCTGCCTCTAGTTCACTGAAACTAGAGGCAGATTATGACTGCTGACGATAGCAGCCTGTTTTCCATTAAAATGATGCACAGTATGTCTGTTAATGTCTTGATTTGTACATGACTGCCTGAAGGCGGTGTCTCTGAACAGCACCACAAATAAGGTGAAGCCCCAGAAGAGACCTATAATTCAGGCAGATGTGACCGAAAGCCCACCCAGCCCTCCTCCTCGCTGGCATCAGGACAAGAGGAGACTGAGCAAAGTCAGCGGGGCAGAAGTATATTCAAACCCAGAGGTAAATGACCCATCAACACTGATACCACATGGTCGCCAGATGGGGTCAGGAACGTTGAGGGAAAGGAAGGAGCTAAGCTATGAACACCAGTCTGTAATACTGGTAGCTCTCTAGTTTACTGTGCACTAACAACACAGAGATGACAACATTACTTAAAGTAGTTGTTTGCTTGTAGTTAGAGTCATGACATAACACATAACTTTGTATTTACTTTATTATTATTTACTATTAGTTGTTAGCTATTTGTGTTAATTATACAAAAGGCAGTTAACACCTAAAAATAAAGCTGCAACAGGTATGTTATAAAATTACTGTGCTGTACTACACTAATCTTGTTATTTAGCTACTATAATTAAATAGCAAATGATACAGTAAGTTGCTAGTATTAAACAACACTATTTTTATGTCAGTTACAAAATATCACACATCTAATATATTCATCTAAGACTTTTTGATTCCAGCGTGTGCTACATCCATTGACACTGCCAAGCAAAGCTTCTATATTAAAAGCAGTTGTGAAGAAGGCTGTGACTGAATAAGCAACAAGTATAAAAGATTGGACCGACATGTTAGATCTCACACCAGTAGAGTTCTGTATGTGTTCTTTCAAAACAAGTCAACGGTTATGTGCTTTTTAAACAAAAAGCTGTGTAAAGGAGTTATTGAGGGAACTGGAAGGTTTGGCCATCCCAGTGGACAATACAGACCTTAGATTAGTGACTGGGGCCTGATCCAGGACAGCTTCAGTATAAACTGTACAGTGTTTTCGAGAAATGCTGGGCGGACCTGGGGTTTGTACGCAAGTGATTCACCGGTTTGATATGCTTTGCAAGAACACTTAGAAAATAACTAGCCTATGTTATAAATAAATCTGAAATTACAATGAAACATTTTTTAATCAAAAGATATTAAAGGATAACTCAGTTTTTTCTTTTTTTGCAACTTCGTAGTTGTTGCAAATTCCATGCAGGTTAACCAAACTTATTTGGAGAAATAAAGAAGGTAAATGGTAACTGTATTATCCAGAGTGTCCACTGTAAACATCAGTCGCAGTTTTCAGACTGACTTCCTGGTCTAACTTTTGACCTGCTCAAGCCACAGCCGTATGCACACACACACAGTCTCCTTTGCAGTATGGAATTTTTACATATTGAATGAACAAATTTTTGGATTTACTTCCAAATTAGGTGGCCCTGAGATATCTGGCTAACCCGGTGGCTACAGTGCACTTGACTGTCTGACTGCTGTTTCCTGCTTTACTTGTTTAAGTATTGTAAAGATACACCCAGAGGCTCACTAAACAAAGAAACAAAGTATTATAGCCTCTATACTAAAAAACACCATTTTACCTTTTCTTAGTGTTCCAAAGTTAGATTATTAGCCAAAAAAGTGCATCATCACCGCTATAGTATTACTATATTTAATAGAACTGTGACACTCTCCATTCAGTTTTAAATATTTTGGTCCTGTTTTTGTTACAAAATAAGCTGAATATTCATCAGTGGATGCGTCTATAATTGTTCATCCTCTCATGTGGCAGTGAAACTCTTTAGTAAGAATCATCACATTGGTTAATATCTGATATAAGCTAATACTGGCCCAGTATGTAATTTGGTTTATGCACAGTTTATGTTTTTGTCTCTTTGAAATTGTGTCTGTGTGTCCACTAACAGGGAAACTATGAGGAGAGGTTTACTGTGGAAAAATCATCCTTCCTACAGACTGATGGTTCTGCTCAGCTCATTGAGAACAAACTTCAGGTGACTCCCAGAAACGTGGCCAACAAGGAGGCTTCTCAGGTGTCAAAAACAGGCCCAAATGGCATGATCATTAGAGGAATGACTTTTTATAAATCTGAGCCAGATCCGATGGTGGCAGATGATGGGGAGCCTGGAGAGAACTGTAAGTATGAGTTCTGTGTGAAGAAGGTGCAGCATTACTCCACAGTCTGTTGGCTGCTGTGATTTCACTGAACATTTGTCTTTTCTCTCTTCAGTTTTTGAGTATCATGGATTCAGTGGTGATGGCCCAATCAACCTCTTCATTGAAGAGAATCTTCTTCAACACAGACCCCCTCGGCCCAGGATGAAGGCTAGACCCACATTATTTCAACCAAAGACAACAGCTGCATTGCATGGTTCCAGGAAAACCAGCCAGTCAACAAAACCAAAAGAAACTGAGCCCACTGCAGAAAATCATAATGAGGTCATTAATGTCACGGAAACTACATCAGTGGATGCATCTGTAGGTGTACAGAGTGACACCTCCACACTGAGAAGCATCACAACTGGACCAGCCACAACCACACAACAAACCAGGACCACAGACACTTCACTTCAGACTACTCAAAGAGCCACATCTGGAATCACAAAGCGGCTACTCCCCTTGATGGAAGAACCAGCTGGCACTTTTCCACACCTCACTGCCAAAGAAACAACAACACATATAATTATAATGAACACAACCCAACCCTCTGTACAGACAGCCACAGAGGAAACCCTAACAGAATTGACAACAAGAAATACACCAACCACCATGATGGAAATATCAACGCCAGAGCTGAAAGACCAAATGCAAACCACACTTGGCAGCACTGCACTTAATCCAAGCACACTTGCACCAGATCCAACCACAGAGGCTTCAGCTACCAGCCCCACTTCCACTAAAACTATCACCACCAAAGCTGACCTGACCTCAGCACCAGTACACCCCTCCACAGCTGCCTCCACACAGGCTGCTACCACTGCACCACAGGAACAAACTGAATCCACCTATGTTTTGGGCTCAACTTTGCTTCCTACCAGTTTGCCTTCACACACTCCTCTGCCTTTCAGCACACCTGTGACTACCTCTTCAGCCACCACCACCACCAGGCAGGCTCAAGCTGAACAGAAATACAAAATCAGCTGGGATGGGGAAAAGGCGGATGAAGGACATCTGGAATTAGATGAGCCAATGCAAAGACAGGAGGAAGCTTCTTCTAAAAAACATGGTACATAGAGTTTTTGTCTCAAATGAGGGGAACATGTGTTTTCCAGATTAAATACTTAAATATTGTATTATTCTTCACAATTTGGCAGTTTGCATAGGCAGCTTTAGCCACCTGCACTTCACTGAATACACAGAGAAAACAGTACCACCTCCAAAAACTCCAAGGAACTAGAATTACTACTTTGCAGCTGTATGCTTCCACCAACCAGTGAAATTCACAGCAATGGGACAGATGTGAAGTCACTAATACCTTGACCTTTGACCACCAAAATCTCATCAGTTCATTAGACCAACATTGTAATCCCCAGCAAACACTTGCATGTACTGTATAAGAGCTTACTACCAAAGATGCTGCCAAAAAATAAAAAATACCAAATGGCAAAGACTGACATCATATCTTAACTATTTTCAAAGTCTTTAAAAAGGTGTCATGTCGTAAGAGAATATTAAATTGAACTTGTGTGAATCTCTAAACTTTGTAATTCAGTACTCTGAAATCTGTGGAAACGTAACTCTTTCCGTGATTCAAGCTGGTAAAAACAAAAGCCTCTTAATTATTTTCAGCCGTTTTGACATAGGTCTGGATGATATTAAACTGCTTCTAAATCTTTGCTCATAGCCCTCTGGGTCTTTTTACAGGGGAGTGTAAGGACACTTTGGCAACAATCTCTGAGCCAGTAACTCACAACACCTATGGCAGGACTGAGGGAGCGTGGATGAAGGATCCAAAATCTAATAATGATAAAATCTATGTCACAAACTTCTATTATGGAAACAACCTCCTGGAGTTTCGCAACCTGGAGGTTTTCAAAGAAGGTAAGAACCTGTGATGACAGCTTTCACTAAATGGTGTTTTGTTTCCTGTAAATCTCACGTTTGTGCTTCCTTCTCTATCCTCTGTAGGGCGTTTCACCACCTCCTACAAGCTTCCTTACAACTGGATCGGCACAGGTCATGTGGTCTATGATGGGGCCTTCTACTACAACCGTGCCTTCTCTCATGACATCATAAAGTTTGACCTCCATCAGCGTTATGTGGCCGCCTGGACCATGCTGCACGATGCCCTGTTGGAGGAGTCGACATCACAGTGGGAGTGGCGCAGCCACTCAGACATCGAGTTTGCTGTGGATGAGACTGGCCTGTGGGTCATCTACCCTGCACTGGATGATGAAGGCTTCTTACAGGAAGTGATAGTTCTGAGTCAACTAAACCCCTCAGACCTCAGCATGCAGAGGGAGACCACCTGGAGAACTGGGCTTCGGAGAAATCACTACGGGAACTGCTTCATTGTGTGTGGCGTTCTGTATGCTGTTGACAGCTACAAACAAAGAGACGCCAACCTAGAATACGCCTTCGACACACACACAAACACTCAGATGATTCCCAGAATGCCCTTCATCAACAACTACACCTACACCACACAGATTGACTACAATCCCAAAGAGGGTGTTTTGTATGCATGGGACAATGGACACCAAGTCACATACGGCATTAAGTTTGCATATGTAGACCCTTAGTGAGGGTTCAACATTTTCATAGTTTAAACGGTAATTAAAGGTAATTCTATCATTTAAATGGATTGTAGATCAGTCCATATGGCCTTCAGTATGGCGACAAATGAGGCCATATATATATATATGTTTAGTATATTGATTAGATTTTGTTGTTTTATTGAGAATATTTTAAATTTTACCTGAAACAAATGATAAAGTGAACCCAATTCCTCAGTCAATACAGCAAGTTGTACTGTGCATATTGTAATGCTGTTTAAAAAAAAAGCCCTTTGAGATACAGATGGGTGACAATGGAAAAGCAAAGTGTCTCAGTATGATGTTGGGCCACCAGAACAACTTCACTGAACCTTGGCATTGACTCTACAAGTCTCTGAACTCTACTGGAGGGATGAACACCATTCTTCCACAAAATATTTCCTCATGTGTTGTTTTGGTGGAGATGCTGTCTAACATGTCACTCCAAAATCTCCCATAGGTGTTCAGCTGGGTTGAGATCTGGTGACTGCGAAGGCCAGCACACATCATGCACTGTCATCCTGGAAGAGACCACTCATTTATTCAGGTTTTTACTTTGTAGTTTTTCCTCAACTGCTAACATGCAGTGGTCACAAATGAAGCCAAATTATGAAAACTCTTCACACAATGAGCAAAACTGAAGTGGCGCAAACTGTGGATCAGTTTTCATTGTTTTCACACAAAACGCATTCAGTGATCCCATCTTCCAGAATTGAGCAACTCTTTTCTCATTCAAACTACATCACCAGCACAACAAGTTATATTTGCAGCACTTTTTTGTCCCAAAACTATTAAAACACATTCAAAACTGAATGGACAGGATTATGGGAGGAAGCCAGAGTACCCAGAGAGAACTGATGCAGGCACAGGGAGTACATGCAAACTCCACACAGAAAGGCACTGAGACAATGAGGAATCAAACCAGAACATTGTTGGTGTGAGGGAGCAGAGCTAACCACTGTTCCACAATGCTGTCCATATAGCAGAATATTTTAAATAACATTAACTCATCTGTCCAAACACAGCTAAATGCTGTTTCATTTGAAAGCAAACACAGGCGTCCTGTGTTTAGTCTCATTACCATCAGTAGTGAAAGGGAAGCATGTCATCAATTCTGTTTGGAGACATGGATCATGGAAAATAGGTTGGTGGGGAAAGAGGGTTGAATTAGGCATTCCAGTAGATGTTTTCCATTTTGTTTACAATATGCAAAGCATATAAAGTTATTTCTGCATTTTGGATTCATTCTTGTTGCATATACTTTACTGCAGTCAAGACAGTGGGAAGGTGTCATTCCCTAATGAAATACTGATTTATGTGTTAAATCATTAAAAGTATAAAGACTGGTAATGCAGGCTGTGTGAAGAGGTTTGGTAATATGACCTCAGTTCAGACCGATGCTCGTTAGCAACTGAGAAAAACTAATTTGTCACGCATCTATAAATGAACGTAGAAAGGTGTCAGAATGAGACATTGGCTTGGTGCAAAGCAATTCACATAAACAAGCATGAACGCTTACTCTCTGAACAAATGACCCGCTTTGAAGGACAAATTCTATGCTTCTGTTTTATACACAATGTTTTGTATTACATATTTCTTTACATCATACGGTATGCCACAGGTTGTTTTGTGGAAGCACTTACTCCCTTCATATCAAACTGTTTTGAGGAGACTGCAATAAAGTTCAGAAATGCTAAATGAAAAATGTCCTAGTTTTACTAAGTACAGTTGATGTTAAAGTGTTAAATCTAAAGCCTTTATTCCAACTTGGGAGTGTTAGTTCAACTAGAAGATGGTGAGAACAGAAGACAACCAGGCAGGAATCGGCCAGAGAATTTAAAAAAACATTTAAATGTTCACACCTGTGATTTACTGTTACTAACTGTAAACTGAGTTATAATGCATAAACATTCCCAGAGACAGTCAATTTATTGTACTTGTCAAATAAAATGCAGTTCTAGGATTTCACCCAACAGTCAAAAGGAAACACACAGGAACATTTAGAGAAAATCCGGTGTTTATTTTGATTTTTGCCACAATAGAATACAAAAAAACAAAACCTCTTATGTTTTTAATTTTACTGTGCTTGTTGAGAGACAGTGAAAACAATGCAGTATGAATCTAACATATTTTTATAACCAAAAGGGGGGAAGGACATTACCCTCAGACAGACTAGCATAAAACAACACAAGAGAACTGAGCAGTTTGTATGAGAATCCACCGGGCTAAAACATAACCATCTGTACAATCATGTTGTTAGAAGTAATACACTTTCAGACACAAAAATATACAGCAGTATGCTTTATCAATAGGGATGGGAAAATGCTCATGAATTCTGATTTAGCTAAATTGAACCCAAATTCCAAGTAGTCAAAACAATGTTAGATGCATCAATATAAGCATTTAAAGCCACAACTGAACCTCCTATGTTTTGCATTCGGAGTGCATGTTTACAACTAATTCATATTAAAATCGATCAGGAATCCAGACATTTTAAAAACAGTTTCCAGCAGGATGCAATTTAAATACAGACTTAAGTACAGAAAAAAATAAATGCAATTTAGCCTGAAGTTCATACAGTGGTTTTATTTAACTAAGTCATCTAGCTCAAATGAGAAATTTGATGAAGATATACACAATTTCAATTTCAAATACTGTGCAAAAGTCTTAGTCCACCATTAGTTTAGCTGTTTTAGCAAAGTTGTGATGATAATTTATATTTATTTCTCAGTCTTTATTAAGATAGAACCAGAAAATACAGTTAATAGGTACACAATTTAAAAAAAACAGCATGTTCAGAACAAACTGGCTTCTACAGTTCAGTCAGTATTTAGTGTGACCACCCTTTGCACTTAGCACAGCTTGAATTTTTTGGGGGAGATGGTCTTGAAGTCTTGAACCCATAACAGACCCTCCACCATGTTGCACTGAAGGCTGCAGGCACTTATTCTTCTGCTTCTCTCCAACTCTTCTTCTCACATACTGTCGACGATCAGACCCGAACAATTCAAATGTCGATTCATCACCACTGATCTTCATTCCAATTTTGGAGCTTTTTCATATCTCAGCCTTTTCTCCCTATTTGAAAAAGTGGTTTCTTGGCTGCCGTCCTTCCACAAAGGCCATTCCTGATCAAGCTTCTTTGGACTGTTGAAGGATCAGCTTGGCATCCAGATGAAGCTGCCAGATGCTGAGCCAGGTCTTTGTTGGGTTCCCTTGGGAACTTCTCTTCAGATTTTGACAGTGTTCTTGGTTTTTGTCCTCAACCTCCCTGGATTCTTCATATTATTTCACATTTTTGTATTTTTTTAATACTAGTCATCATAACATTGCTAAAACAACAAATCTAATGGTGTTCTAAGACTTGTGCACAGTATTGTATCTGTCATTGTGTTTTGTCTAGTCAACTAGAAAAAAAGGTTCCCACAAAGCAAACTGAAAAATCAATCAGTCTGGACAGATGAAATGTTTCACCCTACAGGAGCTGGCATAATAGAAATAAATATGTACAGTAGTATCTGCATCTGTTCATTGGTGGAAGTGAAGCACAGTAAAAGATCCAAAAATTAAAAATTTAAATTCTTCATTGACAGAGTACCTGAAATCCTTAGACAAATGGAAACCAGCCAACAACATGACATCCTGTCAGCTTTCACAGATCACCCGACTTCCTGAGTTTACTAGATCCCTCTGATGCTGCATGCAATTCATCTGTTATTTCTTTGTTTCACTAACAAAATTTACTTTATTTAGAGAAAAAAAACAGCAAATAAGCAAGAGAGACTATTATAGCACTCAATTTTCTAGGTAAGACACAAACCCAAAATTTGTTCAGCTTCTAAACATTTATATTAAAAATGCATTTTTC